TATATATATATATATATATATATATATATATATATATATATATATATATATATATATATATATATATATAAATACCTTGTTATGTATAACGTTTTACACGATTTCCCCGTGCGTGAACTTTACTTGACCTTAAATTAGATTAATAAGCAGACGCGCGCTTCATAGATGGGCGGGCTAGTTCTTTTGATCTGTCGTGTTAACCAATTAAACATGGTTTAGACTGTCTCCTAGTATCTTGTTGAATGATCTCGATTTGTTCTAGAAATGTAAACAAATGCTGAATAGCTTCTGGAAGGCAGGGTTTACACGTCGGTAGACCCACATCTATAAAGGATTTACAGGCACAGAGAGGGGACTGAGATTCAGGTAGAAATTATTAACTTTATGAGGCGTGTATTATTCTGTGTGTTCTTATATATGTTTTTATTCGCATTCTTCATTCATCATTATTCATTGGCACATTGTACTAACTGTGTTAACTGTGTACCGGTACAAGATCTACCATACTGTAAGTTGATGATTTATAATTATATTTCTTTTGTTTTGTTATTGTATTATTACTAAATTAAATCGTATTAATTGTAACTGGCAACTGTTTTGGGTGTCGTATCTTTATTATCGTATTTCTATGGTATCGTCCTTTGTTAGGCACTGTTTGAACGAGCCATAAAATTAAAAATAAGAGATTAATTTCTCACAATAGATTGCAGTGCGTAACAACCTTATCCCCTCGCCCCCGTTAGCCCAAGAAACTTGGCTTCTGTTATCAAAATTCTCTCCCCGTGGGCGCCCGGGCAGTTGTTGATCTATTGATCTAGTCTGTCGCTTTTACGCCTTAAAAGTTCGTCCTTTTAATTGTTACAACCATTAACCACACGCCACCACCCCACGAACTCCGAATCTATCAATGCCTGCATTCACATTGACTGTTCATATGTGTCAAAGTAGACCATATCTCGTCGATGTCAGGAGTTCATAGTAAAGCTACGTCACAAGTGCCGTAACCTTTGACTTGTTATGGCTGGGTTGGGGCGGTCCCTACATTTTCAACAAACAAAAATAAAAATAAAATAGAATTGCCATGCAGCTGCTATGTGCTCTCCACGACCCCAAATTTCGTGGAATTAAGGTCCCATAATCTGAAATTCGCTAGGTGATGATCGGTCCTCACCTCTGATGGATGTTTGAAACTAGTACGCCATTCGCAAACCGTAAGCTTTTCGAATGGTGCTGCCTCCTCCCAACCTCCCCTCTCTCTCTTCTTCTTTCCCCCCCCCCCCCCCCCCCCCCCCCGATTTTACCTACCATTACGGCTATTGTTTACGAAAAAGGGAAATAGATTCACTGAAATGTAAATTGAAATGAACTCTTTGGTGATTATTCATGGTACAAAAATATGAGACTGGGTTAATGTTAAAAAAACGCAGACCTGTTTAACGCTACGCTTTCGCCGTAGTAGCTACGTGTTTAAGCCTAAGACTACTGCACTACGGCTAGCCTTAAAAAAAACTACGGTTTCGAGAGTTTTTTTTTTTCCGTTTCTTTGGTTTCTTTTTAATAAATACTTTATAATTGGGGTGTTTTCAGTATGAAGTTACCCAATTTTAGTGTTAACACTGTCAGCAGGCGAATAAGTAAGAACACCATCTTTCAACACATCGGAGAAGCATAACTTGTAGATTTCTTTATGGTAACTTCTATAAGCAGAGGAGTGGATTTACAGACACAACTTGTATTTTGATTGTAAAGACCACCCCCCCCCCCTTTCTTTTCGGCTAATTGACCAGACTACTCTGGAGCTTGAAAATACGGTTTTTTTTTAGAGCTGCTGTAAACTACTCTGACACTTAGCGGTGTGGTGGGGGGAGGGGGGTTAACAGGGTTGTATACGTATATCATTTGACGGGTGAAAACGGGTAGCGAGTAGCATTTATCCAGATCTATGCCCCCCCCACCCACCCACCGCCCCCTTCAAGTTTCGCCGCTGTCTGTGACCCGGGTAACATAACACCACGAAACAGGATCTCAAATCACCTACACGGAATATTACTGCTGCGTCATTGCAAGGTGACTTGACAAGCTTTACAATAGCAGACACGTACCGCAGTGCCACGGTTCTGTCACACTGTCTGCTTGCACGACCCTCTTATTGAGTATTGATCTAGTTCAGCGTATGGGGGGGAGAAGGAAAAATTTTTTTTTTTCTCAACTACTGTTCCGGTGTTTACAAGAATGGTCTGCACATGGATTGGGACTACTGTTACCGAGACACTCTCCAAAACATTCACGCCGTCAGTGTAAGTAAATAAAATAGTGTTTCAAATATAGGTTTCATGGAGTGGTAAAGATCACGTTTCAGACAGCGAGCTTTTTAAAGCCTGTATCGACGTCTTATCACTAAATATTCCATTCGTGGTAAATACGGTAAATAGCACATTTCAAACAGCGTGATTTTTAAAGCCAGCATCGACGCCTTTACATTAAATATTCCATTAGTGATAAATACGTTTGCCTGGTGGTTTTTCCTGGAAAAACTGGGACGATCTTCTTGTCCACACACGCCAACTGAAGATTTGAGATCTTTAACTTTAATCTGAACAAAAACAAACAAACATAGCAAACATGTTTTTTTTTAAAACAGTTAAAGGAAACAAAATGTAATGGGGGGTGGGGGGGGGGGTTGGGTAAATCCTGGCAATCCTACCAGTAGGGCGCTCCTTGGGTGTCAACGGAATTCTAACTGAAGATTTGAGATCTTTAACTTTAATCTGAACAAAAACAAACAAACATAGCAAACATGTTTTTTTTTAAAACAGTTAAAGGAAACAAAATGTAATGGGGGGTGGGGGGGGGGGTTGGGTAAGTCCTGGCAATCCTACCAGTAGGACGCTCCTTGGGTGTCAACGGAATTCTCAATGTGTCCTAAATGACGCGCGAGGCGGCCGCCCCCATAACCGAAGATCATACCCTGACCTCCACTCTCACTCCTCAACCGGGCACGTCCATTTAAACCAGCCCAACCTTACCCATCTCTCTTAAATAAATGTTGGAACAAGATATATTAAGGCTTGAAAATAAGTTATTCTGTCTATTCTTTTCAAGCCAAGTCATCTTGTTCCAATATTTATTTCCAGTCAAGACATCTTATTCCACTATTTATTTCCAGTCAAGTCATCTTATTCCACTATTTATTTCAAGTCAAGTCATATTATTCCACTATTTATTTCAAGCCAAGTCATCTTATTCCATTATCTATTTCCAGCCAAGACATCTTATTCCACTATTTATTTCCAGCCAAGTCATCTTATTTCACTATTTATTTACTTCCCCCCCGCCCCCAGTCCCTTTCCTTACCCCCACATTCCCCCCCATTTGAGCTGCCTCCAGGCGTGTGTCGTGTCGTCCCCCCCCCCCCCTACTTAAAAATATGTTTATTTAAATCAACCTTTATTCTTTATGAATGTTATTTCTTATTTGACAAAACCCACACAATGGTCACAGAATACTGACCTGATGTTACTATCTTCATTGAATACACTCCGAACACTCAAGTTAAGGCAGGTTGACTCTATTCATTTTTTTTTATCTGGAGGTTTGCTTTATTAGTTTAAAATTAGTATGTAATTATAAAAAAACAAGTACTAATTTCAATGTTACCAAATTGAACATGAGGTATGTCACCAGTTCTATGTGATAAAAGAAGCCAAAATCCAGCTTTTGCTTTATTACAGCAAAATTACATTTATGCAATGTACCCTGGTTGCTTGTTGCAAGTAGGACTCTTAGATCTTAGGATACCGCCCAGACGACTCAGGGATTCATCTTTTGCGCACAGGTTAATTCGATATAGTTTATGAGATTTAAATTATTTAAACATTGTTGTTCTAAATTATTTCTATTCTCACTAGTGTGTAACAGCTAAGCAAAATTTTTTGCTGAGTCACATCTCTACAATAAAAAAAAAAGGAAAAATTGTGTAGGCTTCATCTTTTGGCCCAGGGTTAGAGTGGAAACAGGTTTATGCTCACTGTATGATGTATAGCGAGTGCGGGTTATGGTACAATGTCCAACATATTAAGCCAGATGTGTTGCACAGGGGATACAGCAACCCAATCCCCCACCTTCAGACTGTTCCCCAGGGGCTTGCCAGCTGAAAAGTGATGCATGATTATTTCATCTAGCTCAACCAAGAAAACAACTGATGGCAATCTCATTAGACATTAGTTACAGGAAGCGAGGCTTTTAAATGCTTATTGTTGTTGTTTTTTGTAACTGGAGGCTGATTTCTTCATAACAGCGATGCAGCATTTAATTCTCATTATGTTCTGTTAAGCAATGATTTTCTTGTATTATATTTTAGTATTTTTGCAAAGTCAGCTGGCTGTTAATTGTGGAGGCAACATGTGTCAGTGTCATTGGACCTACTAATTCTTTCTTCAATATCAAATTGACCTCCCAGAATGAGCTGCTCTTTTTGTGTGAAATGAACAATGCCAACTCAAGAACTTTAAAATCATATTGCATGCATCTTCTTTAACGTTTGCGAATATTGAGTTGAAATGCAACATTTTTATATTAAATTTAAGTACAAGATTCCCCATGTCTGTTAACCAAGAATTATTTGAAATACTTATGAAAAGAGTTATGAGACGTACACATCATACATGGTATGGAAGGAAAAAAACAATATCAGAAGAAAGCAGAAGTCTATGGTTTTCAGGTCTCTTCTGGTCTGTCAAGTGTTTGAATGCCGCCTCCATAGGCATTTAAGAATTAACCAAATATTTCAAACAAGCGGATGCACTGGTAATACTGATAATCCATGATTTCAACTTTTGTTGTGAACATAAATATTCTCAGTTAGGCACATTTTAATGGGTTAAGATCTCTGCTACATATTCATAAACTTACAAGGTCATTATGTTAATCAGTTTACATAACATTTTATATTGCTGTGCAATGATGACAAGGCTTTAAATGTATGTGATGTGCAGTGATGTATGCAATGTTAAAGTAAGCATGCAGTTTAAAACATGTCATGCAGAGTGGTTCATGTTCGTTCCAAGCGTGTGCTTACAAGTATTCTTTTTATGTGATAAGTCTACAGGTTTTCTTTTATGTGATAAGTGTACAACTTTTCTTTTATGTGATAAGTGTACAGGTTTTCTTTTATGTGATAATGTACAATGCTAAATTTATGAACTATTCTGCTGTACAATTTTCATTTTTAAAATAGTTCTAAAAGGCCTTTGTTGTGTTAACTGTGTCCTTACCCTTTCATGAAGTTGCCTGGCCTTCCTGCTGTCGTCTTTGCCCAATTAATAGATTCCCCATTTTGGTCCCATTTGTCAGAATTCCTAGTCTTATTGTTTGGATATGGTAGTAACGTCTCAGTTCTGATACTAAATACTAAATGTCGAATTAACATTAATTATTTCTGTGGACATCTGTTCTACTCCGGCATACAGATTTCAAAGCTCACCTAGAAGAGTGTATTTCAATATACTCGTCCCTTATCTAGTGTTGAGCTTCTTTTAAAATGTTCTGGAGGTCACTCAGTTTGCTCGTAAGGTTTTGCTAAAGTAGACTTTGGATGATTTGGTCTGTAATTGAAAGGTTGTTTAGGAGGTCTGGTCCCTTGGTTTTCACTCACAACAAGTGAGTGTGCTAACCTATCACAATGGGACAGCAAGAAAGAAAAATAAACCATCAGCTTTCTTTACTGAGACACAATTTTATTTACTCATAGTCGACCGACCTCTTCCCCCTTTTGTTAACAAGAATTGACTTAATGTAGACGTTTAAATTGTTTGTATTGTTTTACTTTCAGAATTTTGTGACAGTGGACTAGATGCAGGCGAGAAGATGCTATTGACTCTAGTTGCATGTATGGTTCGCCATATATGTAATACCTACAACCTGAGTGGGAAGTAAAAGTTTCTCTCTTCGTGTGCTCATCAGATTACCTCAAAATGTCTTCCAAAGATACCTCTTCTTGCTATCGTCCTCGACCTCAGATTACAGAGAAGCCTCCTGATGGCAGCATGCACTTCACCATCATGAAACATCCAAAAGAAGCGCTGGAGGTGATGAGCATTTTAAGAAGGTCAAAAAAGCTCTGTGATATTACCCTAGTTGCCGGGGAGGATAAAATACTAGCTCACAAGATAGTCTTGGCAGCATCCAGCCCTTACTTCCGAGCCATGTTCACTAGTGGGATGAGAGAGGAAGAAATGACAACCATTCCACTGCACGGGATCTCCCCTTGCACCCTCGCCCAGCTGGTCGAGTTTGCCTACACGGCAGAAGTGAACATCAATGAAGGCAACGTCTGCTACCTCTTACCCGCTGCCACGATGTTTCAGATGAACCACGTGGTGGAGGCCTGCACCGTGTTCCTGGAGCATCAGCTGGATCCCAGCAACTGTATAGGCATAGCCGACTTTGCCAGTGAACACGGGTGCACAGAACTGGAGAACAAAGCCAGGAAGTACATACGAAAGCACTTTTGTGAGGTGATACAGTGTGACGAGTTTCTTGTCCTGAGCCCATGTCAAATGGTGAGCCTGGTGAAGCAGGATGAGCTGAACGTCCAGTGTGAGTCTGAAGTTTTTAAGGCGGTCATTCGATGGGTGGAACACGACCCAGAAAAGAGACTGGAGATTCTTGAGGGCTTGCTGGCCTCTGTTCGTCTAAATTTTCTTGCCCCCAAATTCTTGGAGCAGCAGTTGAACAACTGCAGCATCCTGCAAAAAATGCCTCAGTGTTTAAAAACCATTTCGGAGAAACTCAAAGGATTAAAGCTCCATCAGAAGTGCTCTGATCTACCAAGAAGGCCATGTGCCCCGCTAGTGATATTCTGTGCAGGTGGCTACCTTAGGCAGTCTTTGAGTAATTTTGAGTGCTACAACCCCAAAAACAAACAGTGGCTCCGTCTCCCTGATTTGCCCACACCTCGCAGTGGTTTAGGGGCTTGCATTGTGCGTGGGGCACTTTTTGTTGTGGGAGGCCGCAATAATTCACCTGATGGAAACATGGATTCTAACAGTCTCGATATGTATGACCCCATGAGGAATGTGTGGATACCTAAACACAATATGAATTTTCCTAGGAACAGAGTGGGTGTAGGGGTCATCGACAGTATGATCTATGCTGTTGGTGGGTCTCATGGAAGTACACATCATGCCTCTGCTGAAAGGTAAGTGTTGGAACTCTCTTAGCCAATGATAATGTTCAGCTTGGTTATCTTTGTAGATTGTTAAGTCCTAATACTGTAAGTTCATGCATTCATAAAATTTGTTATATTTCTAACTTTAAAAGAAAGACATTAATTAGTTCTGTCTTGTTGGTTTAAATAAAGCCTAGTTCCATCTAGCTTATTGTCAGTCAATAATAATTTTTTTAATTATATTTTTCCAAAGCTTGTGCATTTTAATCCTGCATTCCTTTTAAGAAAATGTTTTTTCCCCACTCAAACTTTGAAACCATTTATTAAAAAAAAAAAAAAAAAATTATGAGTGATGTCTACTGAAAAAAAAAATATTTACAAATTACTATTAACAATTTTAAACATCTGAAACGTATCTGCTAAAACAGATATGACGCAGAACATGATAGATGGACAGATATAGCCAGCATGTCAACTAGACGTATTGGAGTAGGTTGTGCAGTACTAAACCGATTGCTGTATGCCGTTGGTGGCTTTGATGGTGAACACAGATTGAGCAGTGTAGAGTGTTATGATCCAGAACATGATCAGTGGACTGAGATAAACCCTATGAACACCATGAGGAGTGGGGCAGGTAAGGATAAATGATGGGGGCTTTCAACCCTTGCATTGTGTGCTTTAGAGCAGTGGTCCCCAAACTTTTTAACGCAGCGGAACGGTCAACGTTTGAGAATTTTATTACCGCGGGCCCTTTTTTTTTTTGGGGGGGGGGGGAGGAGTTGATTGTTTATATTTTAGATTATTTTTATTTTATAATTTTAATTTGATTGTATTTAAACATGCCTTCAAAATAAAATACAATTACACCAAAAAAATTAATCTAAGGTGATTGATCATTTTAATTTACTTGAACGCTAAATCAATGAGAACCCTGAGCTTGTTTTTCTCCAACGAGACTGTTCCATCTGGGGGTAATAGGAGACAATGACACCCGAAGTGTTTTGCTTATTTCCAGTTTATTCCGTTGTTTTGTTTTGGTTACTGTCACTGCAGAAAATCCCGCTTCACACAGATAGGAAGTCGGAAGTGGCAATAGGGATTTAAGTGCTATGGTGGCAATCTCAGGGTATTCCGCCTTGACTTTAATCCAGAACACCGACAGAGTTGTCTCGAACGTAGTTTTAAGGCCGCCGTCATTTGCAACCTCCAGCAGTTGATCTTCTTCTTGCACAGACATACTGGATTTGCCCGGTTTGTTGACAAAAGGGTCATGGATCCATTCCTTACCATTTCGTAGGTCTTTTGCGGTTGGGAAGTAGCGCTCGAAGTTTTTTAACACCAAAGACAGGTGATTGTGCACCAACTGGGAGAATGAATGCTCAGCCTGAGGCCGGCCCGATGGTTGCTGGTGCCCTGTGCATGCTTAGTTTTGGTGTACCCTTTTATATATAATCATTAACGGAAAAACTAGTTATTCCGTAATGAGTTTATTACCTATGTTTTTATTTTAAAAAAACACTGAATAATAAAATGGATTTGTTTAACTTGTATTTGAGCAGTATGCACAATCAGCCTACTGATCACATTTTTCCTTAGTCTTTACATCAGAACATCTTTTTTTATTGCCATTTCTTTTTTTCTTCCAAAGTGCCCAAATGCAATGCTTTTTCCTACTTTCGAAGATACTTGATGGCGCCCTAAGCGCACACCGTGTACGTAAAGTTAGAATGCCGTTTCTCAACCCTGGACCCGATGTTCACACTTCACTATAATAAACGAAGGAAATTTAAATATTTTCTTGGCGCCTCAGGCTCCCCTATGGCCACGGCAGCCTGTGCGAAGGCGTAGGTCGCACATCCTAAAGGCAGGCGTTGGCTCAGGTTCAGTCTTGCCTATAATCCCCGGTAATGTTTGAAATATGTTCAAAATGCCTCTGTTCACGTGCCGTCCCCACAACTCCATTTTGGCTTTAAATACAGCTACTATGTCTCCGATCTTGAAAATAGTTGTCATTCTCCCCTTAAGTGACAGATTGAGTTCATTGAGCAGGCTGAATATGTCACACGAGTAAGCCAGTTTTGCGACCCATACCTTGTCACTGAAATATGTTACCAGCGGTGACTTTTTTCTGAGAGAAATCTTTGCAATGGTTCTCATAATTCAAAAACACTGGTGAGCGATTTGTCTCTGGATAACCATCTTATTTCTGTGTACAAGAGAAGGCATCTGTGGTCTGCGTCCATCTCCTCTCAAAGCTGCTCAAACAGGCGTGAGTTAAGGGCGTGTGCTTTGATTTGATGTGGTTTAAAACTTTAAAGACATCAGTCAATAGGCTGTTAAAATTCTGGTGACATTTTGCGGCTTGCCAGTATTTCCCTGTGAATGATGCAATGCGACATTCACTCTCAGGTGCAACCTCCTTAATCCTAGCCGTTACACCAGACAGTCGTCCGGGCATGGCAGCAGCTTCCTCTATGCATATGCAGACACAAAAGGACCGTTTTAGTTGTCCTGATTTATAACCATCCAGTGACTTGTACAGTTCTGCTCCTGGAGTGTTAGTTGGCAAAGATAGTTCACATAAAAAATCCTAATGCATATCCTCCTGATAAAGATATCGCACATAAACAAGTAGTATTTCCTTGTTGTTGATATCTGTAGATTCCACAACCTGTAGTGCGTACCATGGTGATGTATTAAACATCTCCAACAATTTTGTCTTAATGTCTTCGGTTATTTCCTCAATGCCCCCTAATCACAGTGCTAGGCGACAAAGGCACATATGCTATCTTTTTAACAGCAGTCTCTCCTAGAAGTTCACGGCAAATGTCTTTAGTGGAGGGCAATATCAATGCTTCACCAATAGTGAATGGCTTTTTAGCATTAGCAATACGGTTAGCCATCAAATATGATGCTCTCAGTGCAATAGGCGAACAATCCCAAGAGAAATACACCACAGTAAATAAAATGGAAATAATTTAATGTTTCTTGGGCGGCTCGGTACCATTTGATCCACGGACTGGTACCGGTCTACGACCCTGGGTTTGGGGACCACTGCTTTAGAGAATTCAATCAAGGATCTCCTTAATTTAAATTTTTTTGGCACCTACTGACCTGTTTACCCCCGGGTCAGTGTAGGAGTAGTTTTCAGCTCTCAGAAGCGTAGTTCCAAGCTGCAAAGAGTAGTTTAATCATTTGGGGTGGGGGTGTTATTTACAATCAAAATACTAGTTGTGTCAGGAAATCCTATAAGCTGCTTACATAAATTAACATAAAGAAATATACCAGCTGTTGAAGGATGTTGTTCTTATTCGATTTGTAATGGTCTTGACACAAAAAGTGTGTAACTTTTTATTGGAAACACCCCAATTATTTATTTTGTATTCAAAATAAACCAAACGAACATTTATTTTTAGGCTCGCAGTAGTCTTAAAAATGTAGTTGCTATGGCAAAAGCATAGAGGTAAACGTGTCTGCACCCATCTATACATCAGATATTAAATATTAATTCAAATGAAAAATTTTTTGTTCAAATAAAATGTGAGAGCATATTAGATTACTTTGTATTTGTTGATCAACAGAAATATTACATCAGCGCAGTTCTTCCTAGTCATGAGATTAGAAAAGTTGTATACATGAAAAAATTCAGTATGCAGTGCTGGGTGCTTCATACTTCATAAATAACAGATTCAATTTTATTTAAAAATAATGTTGCATTGCCGTAAATTCTTTTTTGAATCCAGTGGACAAATATGCTGTTATAAGTTATATATTGGCTATCATTAGCAGTATTTATAGAGAACTATAAGAAATTATTGTTGTTTATGAAGCCATGTTTATTTTTGGTTCAGTTTTCTCTTAACAGCTTTTGTGTTGTTTAACATCTTCCTATAGGTGTTATTGCTATGGACAATTTCATATATGCCATTGGTGGTTATGACAGCTCCTGTCAGCTGAAGTCAGTGGAGAGGTACAGTATTGACAGGAAGCAGTGGGAGTTTGTGTCACAGATGAACAGCCCTCGCAGTGCTCTCAGTGTGGCCGTCATCAACAACCAACTCTTTGCCCTAGGTTAGTCAAACAGTCAATATTCCCAGTACTCGACGAAATTCAAAATGTAGCTTATGATACCTAAACAGAATAAGCTGCGTATCATTTGTATTGAATGGCACAGAAAGACCCAACATGTTTTCTAGCCCATCATACACTAATGAGTAGACAATGAGTCAAACTAACATAAGTTGAAAATTTGTTCAACTTATGAATAAGTAAGCAAATGAAGGAAGCGGAGCTTAAAGTAATCAAACTTATATAAATTGAGCCTGAATCGGCTGATTTAAAAATTTTTTTTTACTTTACATTACATTATCGGTATGGTATGTCATTTCCATAACTATTTCTTTAAGTTATGTAATAATGAAATTATCTGAAAGTATCTTGAACAATCAACAAAATTAACTAACATAAATTATTTGGCAATCCATCTTTATAATTAATAATATGTAAAAAGACTTTTTGCAGTAACAACACACACACACACACACACACCCCATCCCCCCTTGTCCATCAATTTAACATAGATCTTTTATCTAGCAAATTATAATTAATAATATATAAAAAGACTTTTTTTAATAACAACAACCACACACACACACCCCCCAACCCCCCCCCCCCCTCCACAATGTTTGATGCTGCTAATAAAATGTTCCATTAAAACGTTATTTATTTTTTCAGTGCTAAGACTTATTTAACACTGTGGTGGGGTTAAGCCACATGTGGCTATAGTTACTTGTGGATCAGAAGTGTTCAAAAAACTTTTGATCACTAAACTATTCATGAACGCACAATTGACAGCTCATGTTTATTTTTAATACAGATTAAAGAGAAACAAATTCTCACCCTCATCGAAATTGAGGTGTAAAAAATAGCAAAACACCTTTAAATTTTAGATCAGCCTGTTTCTGGTCAGATAAACTTACCAGCCTGTTTCTGTCTCAGGTGGCTATGATGGCAATGATTTCCTGTCGTCGGTTGAGTGCTACTGTGCTGAAGGCAACAAATGGTATGATGTAACGAACATGACTTGTGGTCGAAGTGGACATGGAGTCGCAGTCGGGGCTGAACCCCCCATCAAGTAAATGCAAGAAAGAATCTCAAGACTGACTACCTGCTCGGCTAATGGTTTTCCTTCCTACAGTTCCCATCATTCCCAGGTTGCACAAGTTTGTTTTTGTTTTTTTACACTGCCAAACTGTTTGATTTCAGTTTTGCTAAGATCTTAATTGCCTCCCTTGGACTATAAATGACAATTAAAGCATTGGGCGATTGGCTTCCAGCAATAATGTCTTTACTGTCTCTTATCATTTCTTGAATTTGCCGTCAGCATAAAAAAAGGTGTGAAATTATTATTTTGCAGGTCTAAGTTGTCTCATAAAATCCTGTGTCATGTCTCAAAGAATATATGGGGGCCATATTATCTTTCAAATCCTCTTGTTGGCCCATATTGTGTAAATAAATGCAAGATAAAAGTTGAATAACACAAAATCATTGCGGGAGAAAAAGTTTGACTGTGCGCAGCATGTTTTATTATGTAACATATGCAACAGCCAACGAGCTTGACAAGTGACACTGTGAGGAAACCTCAGGGTGACATGTCTGACTACAGAAAGAGAAGGAAGAAGATGAGCTCATTTACAATGAAACATTGGAGATTGTATGCATCTTGTGAAACTGTGTTTTTAAAATGCTACTTAAAATGTTATAATTTTGATATTTTGTTGTTTGACAAAGGATGCTAAGAAGTACACTCATTTGTATGCTGATGTTTTTTTTTTTTATTGATGTTTTACCCCCCAAATATGTCTCTTTAATTTATTATTTGTGAAGGCTACATTGTATATTTCAGTTTTGTGTCATCTGCATTATTATTGAACCGATTTCTGTTGTTTTTTGAAATTATGAACAATTGTAGCTTATTTGCAATGCAACGGGAACTGTAACTATGATGGTTTGTTTCCAACTCAAACTGTGTAATTATGTATAAATGAAGCCGTACATTTCATTGCTGTAATGGACTAAATGTAAATATTGTAACTAGCAGCACCACGTTGTTAACATTTGAAATACTCTTTGTCGCACGTGCTCATCAAATATGTTGTAAAATGTAGAAATTCAGAACAGTGTCAAGCTTGGTAAATGCATGTTTTGTGTGTGTGTGTGTAACAGTGTTGTAGTTGAATGTGAGCTTGACCTTACTTGTTGTTTGAATAACTTACAGGTGTGCATGGGTCTCGAGAGCTTGCATGTGCCAATTTTGTATAAAGTTACTGATACGTGTTACATTGTTCTTAAATACGGTGCAATCTATTCTAAGTCATGGTTTGTGTCAGCGCTGTGTATAACCAAAGATTTTGTTTGGAATGAAATGCTTTTTGACATCCCCTCCAGAAAAATTGAAAGTGTTTATTAATATTTTAATTAGTGCCCTCTATTGATATCTATCAAACAATTTAAAACAATTGTGAAATAACTTCTCTGTAAACCTATTAATGCCTTCCCTACTTTAGATCTAAATCTCGTTACATTCGCCACTAGAGTCTAAGCTCTTCAGTGTCATGGGATTTTATAATTCTAAACAGTTACGATTATATGGTTTAGCATGACAACAAAATTTGACCTGTTATCATTTTGATAAGATGATCTGAAATTTTGTCTCTAAATATAAATTATCTACAATCCCTTTGTTGCATCTTGCCCTTGGCTTGGTTTGGTGAACATGGCTCACTAATTATTGTTAAGGTTTGACATCGACATCTCCATCGCCTAATGATAACGATAAAGCCATATTTTTTAACGCCCCTGTTGGCGCTAAAGGATATGGAGGTGCTTTTATCATGCCCAGTGTGTGAAGGTCACCAGAAAAGGGGCATGGTGATCACCAGATGTGTGCAAAATTTCTGGAAATAGAGCCCTGGTGAAACTTTGGTAGTCTAAACAAAATCTGGGTGGTAGAGGCTGTCCACGTGGTTGTGATGCAGCAACAACATTGAGGAGAGAAAAATGTTTTCTCTGCCAACCAGTGGCATGGCTACTGTTTTTGTCGACCCATTCCCCCCCTAATCCATGGACACCATCCCATATCAGACAATACTGAAACCCAAGGTCATGTTCAAAGATGATGTGGCCTGTCATATTTTGGTGTCACCCTCTCTGAAATGCTGTCTGCTCCGCTCCCCACCCCGAGGGACACCACTCTCTTACCCTTCTAAGTTTTAGTTTTGCGCCGACTTACATATCTATGTCACATACTTAATCTTGGGTGGGGATTTGTACAAAAAGAAAAATGTATCAAGTTCCCTAGATTCTGTCTAGTATTCTTTAACTCACATTTTTTAAATTTTATGTACGTTGTCTTTGGTTGTGAAGTTTTTTGCTTTTGATTCACCAAAAAAAAAAAAAAAAATTAACTGAATTCACGCATCCAAACTTTGATGTTTTGACTTATAACTTGATCTCTTTTTAGAACATAATAATGTTGGGACTTGGTGGGGTTTTTGTGTTTTAGTTTTTTTTTTTTGTTTCACCAAAAAAAAAAAAAAAAAAAAATTAACTGAATTCACGCATCCAAACTTTGATGTTTTGACTTATAACTTGATCTCTTTTTAGAACATAATAATGTTGGGACTTGGTGGGGTTTTTGTGTTTTTTTTTTGTGAATGTAGATGAAAGTCTTTCTTACTAAAGACCAATCTGACTGATTTCAAAGGGATTATCAAATTTTCGATCAAATGATCCTTCCTATTTACCCTAGTCCAAACAGATTTAAGAATGTTGATATTTTGTTGGACTTGTCCCATTCATTTGTTGATAATTGAAATGTTGGATTGGTTCTGTGAGGATTTTTAAAAAACCTTCTTTTCACATTTGTGAGATTTGGGTCAACTTTTTCCAACGAAAGCAAATTTACCAAGTGATTTTTTTTTTTCTTCTTAATTTGAAGTTTAAGCCAAAGTCTTAGATCTACCCGTAATTAGAAACTTAAACAATTTTTTTACTTTTCCTTTTTTTTTTTACATTAGTCTAGCTTTAAACAAAAGAAGCATCTTAATTAAGGAATGAAGTTGAAGAATTGTTGGGAACTGCTGTGCTAGATGGAGATTCATTGAAGACTCCAAATTGAAAAAATTTCTTCTGCTTGAATATCATAGATAGCAGCTGTGTCTCCTGTCACATAGATTGTATGAAACAGTGTTAAGATTTTCATGACAAATTTTTACACACCCGGTATCTGTAATACTACTTCATTCATCTAGTATCTGTAATACTACTTCATTCATCTAGTATCTGTAATACTACTTCATTCATCTAGTATCTGTAATACTACTTCATTCATCTAGTATCTGTAATACTGCTTCATTCATCTAGTATCTGTAATACTGCTTCATTCATCTAGTATCTGTAATACTACTTCATTCATCTAGTATCTGTAATACTACTTCATTCATCTAGTATCTGTAATACTGCTTCATTCATCTAGTATCTGTAATACTGCTTCATTCATCTAGTATCTGTAATACTACTTCATTCATCTAGTATCTGTAATACT